TATACTCGCACATAATATAATTAGCAATATAAAAATTGCTTGTCTCTAACGCTTTCCAYAAATCTTTTGTTTATGTTTTTATCTTCTTCTTTCTATCAATCACGATTCACAATAGCAAAAATCGGCCATTTTTAAYCAATGTTGCCTACTAAAATTTGGAGAATTCACCTAAATGCACGAAATTTTTGTGCATTACTAATTTGCATTAACATGGCGCAAATTAATGCAAATTAAACCCGCTAATACAAATTAGCGCTCTCGTCTGTCAGGGCTATAAGGTAGATCTATTCGAAATGATGTAGCGCATCATTTTATGAGGATAACAAAAATATATTATATGAGGAGAAAGGAAAAGGTAGAAGTTTTCTTTTTTCGACAAATATATATGTTAGAAAAATAATGTTTGAAATTTATGCTTCAATACTTCAATATGAAGTTAAATGCTTATTTTTAGAAACATAAATTTGTATTTATGTATTGTTTTGAATTTTATAGCCTTGACAGACGACTGCGTTAACCCTGATTAACTTCGCACTTAATCAGATCCAAATTTGTAGGTGACAGACACCAGTGATGCGAGTTAGCGAGCAGCTGATTGGCATATTAATAACATTTTCAAATTGATAAAGCAAGAATGGATAAAAGACAAGCATTGCTATTGTTAGCCGCATAGATGGTACAAAACCACAATTTGTTAAACAAAAGTATAAATGCGTTACTATTAAAACTGTTTCAAAAGATTAGCCGAAAAAGGAAGACGCGATCGATTATTACAATTATAATGGGTACTATTCGGTTGTTCTGCCGGCAAGTTGCGACTATAGGTAAATTTCATATACTTATTGGAAATATTTATATAAATCCTTTCACTATTTTATAGATCAAAATTTACATATATATACATATGTTGGGTCAATGGAACAAATAACGACTCTTACATTGTTGAAGGTAGTTCCTTAAAGAAATTGCATAAAACCGCTGATATTTTTTGCTCAGAGCATCAAAATGATTGGATATGTTAAYGTCCCCGTATTACTTATTGGCGATTCAGCCATTCGATTGTCGTGTTACACGATGAATCCTTTTCCATGCTCTCCAAATCTACCAGTGTTAGAAAAAAATATTTAACTATCGTTTATCCAAATGTTGCAGAGTTATGGAGAATGCTTTCGGTCAACTAAAAGCCCGATTTAGAAAAATTGGCATAGGTTTACCGGTAGCTGCAAAAAACGTTAACTTTATTATACAWGCATGCTGTATTTTGCACAATTTGGTGAAATTCCTTTTTCGTGGATCCAAGATGCTGCAGAAATAAATACAGGAATTCAACCACATCACACTACAAGAGCTGGGGAAAATGATGTAACAGCATCGGCTATTAGAAATGCAATAGGACTGAGTTTTCGTGAGTATAGATGTATAGAGTAGCAGAAAACAAATAYTAGTACACATAATTACAAACATCCATTTTTTAAAGAGATCATTTTTTATTTAAATTCATTTTTTGTTACATTATATAATGTTTTAAGACTAGAAAATAACAAAACATTTCATTAAATAATGGTTTAGTACTGGAAAAAACGATAAAAATATTTTAAACTTAAAGTTCCTCTGCGATTTTCTCCATWAGGGTTAAAAATCKTTCGGTCAAATTATTGTGCTGTCGAACAGTCTGAATTATTTCCTCTGAAACGTGCTTTGTTTCATATATAACCCCCTCCAAAATGTCAGTTTGTTTATTTAWAACCTTTAACAACTCGACGCTAAAATTACGTTTTCTTGTTGCAGATGAAGGTGATGGTGATGGCAACGAAGGTGGCAGCGGACATGATGGCGATGGCAACGGAGTTGATAATGATGGGTCGGACGGCGACAACAATTGGGTTAATGTTGAATTCTAAAAAAAATTAACTTTGTAAATGCATGTATGTATATCAACAAAATAAATTAGTTTTTTACCTCGGAATTTGTCCCTATGTACAAAGCCGAATTAACRGCAGTACACCCTACTATGCGATGCACAGCTTTATAATGCCTACCACCAGAAGAGCCAATTTTGGTTTTTTCCTCTCTGAAAGTAGAATTATTAATGTGTTAAAAGAAGAAATATAATTATTGAAAAAACTCACCTGTATTTCTTTGCCACGTTTTTCACTTTACAGTGAATTTCCTCGACGGTGTAGTTTTGTGCCATTTCCTGCAAAATCTCATTGTATACGAGTACATGAGCATTTCGCTTTGCACGCCAGAGGTCGTGGGAACGTGCTTCCCACTTTTCCAGCAGTTCCAACTCATCCTTTAAAGTCCACTCTGAACGCTTTTTTCTGCCAGCTATCTGAAATTAAAACATGGATAATAATTTTCGTTTAGAAGRCAATGAAAAATACTAAAATTACKTACCTTTTATCTTTAATCGTCGCTTTTCAAAATAASTTTGTTTACATTTAARCGTAAAACGGCTGTCACTGTTATTATTTTTCATTCACAATAGAATACAGCCGTCGATTATTAACAATGCTGCCAACGTAATCCCAAAAAGTCCCTAAAATTTTGAGAGTTATATTTGGATTCAGCAACGGAGTTAGCTGTGGTAACTCCTGAATTAATCCCGAAAAATGCAGTTAATCCGGTTTAACGCTGCCGTCTGTCAGGGCTATTAACATAATTGAAATATAAACTACGCTATTTTTTAAATAATCAAACTGGACGTTTGCTAATTTTTCCTAAGACAGGTAGGTAGGTGAGTGCTGCCACTGTGRGCTCAATTAGGATAAGAGGCGCCATTTTGATGCACTATCACCAGACTTCTCGTTACATMTTTGTAATCAAACTTTGGTGCATTCGATGCAACTGTTTATGTCCGCTATGCTTTTTGTGGACAACCATTCTAGATTTGATGCCTGGAACATTCACAGAAAAAGTGGAAAACTTTCCTTATTCCCCTCTGGCGTGCAGCTGCGGCAAATATTGTTATAGGGCAGAGCCATATCAGTGTGTTTTCGTCGGACTCCCTTAGTGCCACTGGTATCCTATAAGTCTGAGCGTTGGTGGTCTGTGTATAAGTATCTGTTGTTTTTGTTTAGTTTACCCCGGAAAAAATGTAACATGTACATGTATGTACATATGTATATATATATAGTGTATAGTCTTTTAAGTGTTGCTAAAACTTATGTTTGAATATTTCAATTTTATCAAGATGAGTATTTATTATAAAATACCAATTTATTTTCCACAAAAGACACTGGCAAATGAAATATTTCATTTCTTATATAATATTACGTAAATATTTATTTTTTTGTTTATAATAATCCACTTAGAAACAAATACTTGTTTATAATACAAAGGCAGCATATTGGTAATCTTTGCTTCGTGTCGGCAAAATATGTTAAGGTAGAAATTATTTGTACTCCCTCGTGGCAAATGAAATTCTCAATTTTTGCAATTGGAATTGTCAAGACAAAATAAAAAATACTTTTACGTTTCCTCCGTTAATTTAAWTTTTTTTTTAATTTAGATATACAATTTCAGAACTTCTCAGCAGTCAAAAGTTGAATATTTTTAAAATTTAATGTTTTTTTGTTTTCTAATCTTACATTGTTACTCTATATATATCACTAATTAAGCAATATACCGGTTTAGAATGCCATTATCCAATAGCTGTAAATAAATACACATATGCAAGTTAGAGTAACAACAAAATAATGGAAGCCATTGTCAATATAATCAAATATTTTAGTATAGTTTAAGGTTTTATTAATTAAATTTTGAAAATAAATTGTACTGGTTTATAAAATGGTTCTTATTACTACATTGACTTCGCTTGGTATGTCAAAGAATCTATTTGCGATTTTAAATCTTTTAGGAATGCATAGTTTTTGTCTAACCTTTCCGCTACTAGATTTGCCACAGAATTACCTTCAACAAGAATCGGTACAACTTTCTCACCCAAAGCTTGTAATATTTCTGCGATTTTGAGAATTGTCGCGGGATCAGGTAGTCCTGGTATACCAGCCCTTGCCATTGATTTTCCATCCGCTCCTTTGTTGTTATTATCGACATTTGTTGCTTCTATAGATCGCTTGCTACGCGATTCGTTTGAATCCTCAATGGTTGCTTCTGAGGATGAGTTGTCTTCTTCGGATGGTTGTGGTGTATTGTCGTACTGTAAGACGAGAATTAACAGTAAAACTTCCTTTCGAGGACGTGTTAACTTACATCAGCTGCCACATGAAAGACTATCAATAGTGTCATTAAACTAAGCCACACAATATTTTGCCTGAAGAGTACCATTTTGAATGAAAACTATGATTTATATTTTGCACTTTCGCGAATAAATTAGTTAGTAGAAGAAATGAAAACTAAAATCCTCCCAGCAGTTACTGTTCATTTTATATATGCTGCAGCATTGCATGTTGAAAATGGCGTCAATTTTAAGTTGTGATATGTTTTAGTTTCAGCTGGCGTGCCAAACAACTTCGAGCCTTTCGTTCAATTCATGACGATAATTTGCCAATTTATATGATTGCTTGAAAAATTCCAGCAAAATGTGTAATGCTTTTTCGAGCGGAAATTATCCGGTAGTGCTATTTATTATTGAGCATATGAGTTTTGAGCATTAACTACTTCATGCCTAATCGTTGTTATTAAAGGTGATTTTTAGTTAAAATCTGCTTCATCTGAATTTAATTAATTAGACAGCTTCCTTCCAAAATCCATTGCCATGATTAGTTATAGACAGGTGTAGTTACAAAAAAATTGTGATGTTTATAATCTATTCGTATTCAGTTATCGCTCAAAATACATTTTTTTTGCCGGAATGTTTGAAAAATATATTTTAAAATCATAAAAATGAAACAAAATAGTTGATTTTAACATTATGAATTAAAACCTGTGTGACTAATTGTTACTTTTGGGTTATCGACACAACCGTATATAATAGAATCATGCTTAATGCTTTGTGCACCAACGGGAAGGAAATTTAAAGAAAAAAGAGGATGTTTAAATGAGTTAAGCATTCACCCCCTCTACTCGATWAAACTGGCGCATCCTAATGCTACATCGCAATTGACCACAGCTAATGACACTACAGTGTTGAGTACATTTGTACGCCAACCCACTCAACAAAAAGGATGGGCAACGGGAAAGGAGGCTCAATTCGACACATACAACTCGATGATACACATTCGTCTACAAGACTTTCGTTCATACACTGCGCCGCGTCAACATCTACCGCCTCTAACGCGATTATCCAATGCGACCTAGACCCGCGGCTTCTCGATCACCAGCATCGGAAAATYTTTCTCGGAAGTGAAGTCTCATCGCCTATCCCGTCGAGATTTATAATAACGAATTTTGTAAAATATAAATTTATACTAGAAATAAACGTTAAACGATTGTACATTTTAACCCGTGTGCATTTTTATTAAAGAATCGTTAAAATGGTTAGAATTTTTCTGTGCAAATTTGGGCAGCAAATTATTAAATTAAAGCATTAAAGTTTGATTTTCTAGTGTATGCAAATTTTTATGAAATCAAATATTGTTTGTAACACTCGTAGTCAGTTGAAAATTATATTATAGCAAGTCTGTTTATAGRTAAATTACATTTTTTGCTATATTCTCTTCTCAAAATGTTTTTTATGCTCTTTGTCTTGTTAATAAGCTCTAAGTATCAGTATTTCTTAAGAGAAATTAAGCATTCGAATAATAYTATTGAACTACACCTTTGAAACGCCTCTGAAAGTAAAGTCGAGGTCGCGCGGAGACTGGGCGAAGTTCTGACAAAAAATTACAACTTTGCCGAAAAACTGACGTATGAGCTGGCGTACATATTGCGCATTATCTTGAAGCTGACACAACTCCTATGTATCGGAATCCCGCGAAATTGTCGGTTTTTTTATAGTATGAGGAAACTTCAAAAGCCGGATTGCGGAACTTTAATCTGATAAACCTAACATTCTCCACCTAATATACTGTAAGTTTTTCAGTTCTTGTTAACTAGAGCTGATGGTTCGTTGACAGTTTTCCATTTATCAGAAGACTGACATATATGTGTTATTAAATTTTGGTACGTTACGATACCGCCAAGCGTAGATTTTAGCTTTCCCTTATGCTTAAAATCGGGGCACTAAAAAATACATAYGTGTTCAGAGTCTCAGAGTCTTCAGAGTCTCCTAAGCACTCTGTACACGTCGAACAATATGGACTGACGTCATGATTAATTTGGAACCCATACTTTTTCTCTGTTTTTTCCGCCTTGTAAACGTCTCAGATAGCTGGTATAGTCGCTCGAATTCGTCCCCCTKGATTTCAACAGGCGGCATGCCGGCCTTCTTTAGCAGCATCGCTTGATATCGTTCSGAAAGCACTTATTATTCGGATTGCAGAAAGCCTTTGCACTGCTTTAATTGGACTTGCATATGATTTTTTGTCTAGAGCCTTTATCCATATAAGTGTTGCATACACGCAACTTATTGCTTTTGTTATTAAAAAATTGCCGGTTGGGAGGCACGCAGCCTTTATTGACCRTCATTCTCGATAGAACATTATATATTTTGTTTTTTTTTGCCAGAAGTATATGCCAAGTGTTCCTTAAATTTATTTTTAAGTCCAATATTACTCGCAAATACTTCAGCAGCTGCTGTGAAGTAATTTCGCACTCCCCTATGGTRAGCGAWACCCTTTCGACCACCTTCCTTGTGCCTATGGGCAAGATTTCYGTTTCCTGCTCAGAAAACTGCAAACTCAATGTTGCAAGCCATCGCCGTGATTTATGCAATCCCTGCAAGTTGGAGATAACAGATTGCACAAACMCATTGWAACAATTTCAGCTGATCACTAACCTGTTACATTTTCTGGAATTTTCAATTGAATGGGAGAATACGTAAGTAAGATAGAGAAAAACTATCCACAATCTAAACGTACGAGTATTGTAATGACAACTTGCTMGAATAGGAAAGACGAATACTCAATTTTTCAAGAAAAAGAAAACGAAATGCTTAGTTTATTTTGGATTTTAAAGAGGTAAGTTCGTTACTTTATAATTTGATATTTTATAATTAAGTTCTATTATATATACATATATAGAGCGTTTGGAGAATTCACATATATTGCGAATTAGAAACAAATAAGSGAGTAAGTTTTAAATTATATAAATAGTTATGGATTGAAATATGTAATTTGTGTGTTATATCCACATTTATATGTACATACATGTGTAAACGTAAAAAAATTTAAATCTAAGTAAATTGAAACGAATTGTGCGGTTACAATTATAACTGTGTCGAMTTTAGAATACAGTCCCAGGATTTCGAGAATAAAATGGATATGTTCAAATAGAGGAGGTTCTCCAGATCAATACTGCAATCCTTTAGTTTATGTTAAATAAATATAATTGAATAATAAGTTGAATATTAAAAAAATTCACACGAATTAGTGAAGTGTTAGTGGACATAAAAATGCGAAATATACATAAATGTAAAATTAATTTTAAATCGAAAAAATACGTTCTTCAAATAGTGATAGTTTTCAGATTTAAACGTAAATATTTCGAATTTTCCCAAGAGTATAATTATATTTATTCTTAAACAGGAGAAGCTCCTCTATAACTAAAAAGATATCAGTTCGTATGCAAAATATCTAAAATTGTTTAAAATCAAAACAACATTAGTATTTCGTAATGAGTAATAGTGAACATAGTTTGAATATATGTACATATACGCATTTCTGCTCCGACGCAGAATTTTACAAAATTAAATAATAATGAAATGAGAAGTGTCTTTTCAACAGAGGATTTTTAGTGCTGAATTACACAACTTTACTTAGATGTTGATCTCAAGAAGATATTTCGCAAGTAAAAAAGGGTTAAATTGTGAGTCCTAAACAGAAATACTATTATTCGGTAAATCAGTAAATAYTTCCCTTATAATGTTTTCTCATTTTAGRAAAATAAATTAAGATGAACATATTCTCTTATAGTACCACTCATTCAACTAACGCAGTATTACATTACCAAATTAAAACAGAATCTAATTTTTATATTTTAATTCTCTAGATGCCAGAAAAGGCCGAGGGGCAGGCACAGTGTAAATTATTGCGCGAATGCCGCGGCTTAGCGGCAAAGAYGCACTATTCAATTAGCCGCATCACCAGTGACTTGGAGGACGAGCATTACGTGGAGCTCGCTTCGAAACTGCCCATGTCATCGGAAGAGCACGTGCGCTTCGTGGAAGACATATTTTCACAAAAGGAAAGACRGATGCTATGGTCAACATTTCGCTTTTAAATATTATGCCACGAGATTTGCGGCCTTATTTTTTTAAGTTGAATATATTAGTTCGCAGCTGAACATTTTAGTTTTAAGTTGAAGTTTCTAATTTTACTTTTACAAATATGAATTTTTAGAATTATAATTTTTATACTGACATAAACTTAATCTTGTATTACATTTTGTCGAWTGGAATAATAATRGGCAAATTATTAGTTTAAGTAAATATTTGATTATTYCGATTTTATTATTAAATAAAGGGAAATAATAAAAAAGGGCTGAATTTTATTTAAAATAATTGAATTTGCTATAAGTAACAAATTGGTAACAGATATGCTTGCTAACATGTTTATATGTTAAAGGTAACAAACTGATAATGAAAATAATAACACTAACAGATATTCCGGTAACAAGTACTTTTTGTTATCCCTAACAAATAGGTAGGCTATGCGCTCCCAAAATAATTTGTGAGTTGAGTGTTACTCAAAAGTGAATAAAAAAGTTTCTTGCACGTTTGCTAATAGGGCCCATACACGACACACATGTGCGTTGGATCTGTGTGAATTCGTTTCGCCCATACACGACACACAAATCCATTTTGCGTCCGGTCTTCACACAGTAAACATGTGCCAGAGGCAAGCGGAACATTTCTTCGAATTTATTTCTAATGTAGCACTTTTAACGATTTCTTTCTATTTCGTCAATAAGTTATTCCAACTTTTATTTTTCTCAATTTTATTTTTATATTTATCACTTTTCGTTTGCCAAATTGCCAATTCATTTTATATAAGATCAATAAATTCTGATACGAAATC